TGTGTACAGATGTACAGTGTATGTGTCTCGTCGTCCGGGGGAAGCGTGGCCATCGCTTTATTATTATTATTATTATGTTTGGGTGGTTTTTTTACCCTGGAGTTTGTTAGATAGAAGGGGGGCACTGCCTGCCAGTCCGCCCCCGGTGAATCTCAGGGATCGGTCCGAAAGACCTTAGAAATGTTGTTGGGCTAACAATGAATTTTAACAGGAAAAACAAAAATTAAAGCACATTTTTTTATGTTATATTTTATTTTATTTTTTTCTTGTAACCATAAATATGCAAAATGTTCATCCTGCCCTAAGGGCCAGAGCAGACAAGATAAGGCACTGTTTAAACGTTCAGAAGTGAATTGCTTAATGTTAGACACTTGTAAAAGAGCCCATAAATCCGGTGCTGATAGTCATCCAGCCAGATTTATTAGCCACAGTGCAGAGAAATTGGAAGAATGAAGCCTCCTCTGAAGAAGGTGTCTTGTCATGCTGGAGCGAGGAGCCTTGCTTGTGTGTGCAATGTTCCGTCAGTTAAATTATGTGCTGTTTCTCACCGCCTTACAATTTTTGGCTTCTTTGGAGGTTTTTTTTTTGAGTTAGTTTTCCAAAGTCTCCTTGGTTTTATCAGCTTTACGTAGGTTTCATGACAGCCTCACCAGGAGCAGAAATCCTCAGAAGAGCCCTGTGCCGTACCAGAGCACACCTTGCACAGGCTGTGGCCCATTTCCACATGCTGGTTAAATGGTGGGGACGAGGATACAGATGCCAAATGTCTCACCAACCCGGAGGTGAAAACAAGAGAAGTCCAGCTGATTTGGCCAAATCGCCCTGGCTGTTTGCTGTGTATACTTCTTACTTATGGCTGGGAGAAACCCCACTGAGAAGTGAGGCCGTGCAGTTGGGCTGGGGTGGCCCCGCTGTAGCCAGTGCCCGGGGCTGGGTGTGGGACCAGCTCATGTGGGCCTGGGCCGTGGCAGGGATGGGAGCACTGTCCAGCCCCAAACATGTCATGCGGGTTTCTGACTTCTCCAGCATTTGGCCCCATGTTTTTCCTTTTTTCTCATCAAATTTATTTCAGATATTCCATTTGCCTTCTTTGGGGCGCTTGGTATTCTCCCTGCTGACCCTGTTCTCATCTTTTTGCTGAAAGCCAATGCCAAATACCAGTAGGATCTACAGGACTGCACGGGGAATATTGGTTTGCCAGGGCCTGGCCCCATGGACAAGGTAGTTCTCTCTGCCTGGGAGAACTTGGGGAAATGGTGAGCACCAGCCCCAAAGCCTCCGCACTGCGTTTTGGCCACATGTAGCTCCATGGCTTGCTGGGGCAGGGACTGGGTGCGGACTGGTAGGCTGACAGCGGACATGTGGCCGTGCAAATCTCATCCAGGGCTCCTGCGCCTGGGGGAAGACCATGGTGGGAGGCAGCTTCTCCAGTGCAGGGAACCTGCTTGATTTTCTGCCTCGTGCATAGTCTCTGAAGCGGGTCTGGCCACGAGGCTTGGGTGCAGCACCCAGGCAGTTATGCTCATTGCACATGGGCTTGACACACACCAAGTCCTGCTGGCTCCAATGCCCATGGTTTGCTCTGGCCCAGAGGGAGGCAGGAGCCAGATTCATCCTTCTTTGCCTCTAAAGGCTCCTTGGATCTTTCTGGAGGAGCTGCTTCCCCAGAGAAACCTAAAGCTGAGCAGCACCCAAACTGAGGGGCTTGGCTCTGCATCACCAGCCTCAAACCAGAGGAGAGCAGTTGCACCAGGGATGGCTGAGTTGAAAGGGCTTTGCAGGCACCATGACCCACTCCTTCCTCTGTGCTCTCCCCAAGAGGGCACAAGGGCTCTCGGGGGGCAGCGGCCATGCCGGCAGCTGGGGCGCAGGCAGCCCCGGGCGGTGCCATGCCTTGGAGGATGCCCTCTGGCGCCCGGGGCCACCCCCGCAGCATTGATCCCCGGCCTGGCTGCTGCCCGAGTTGCTACGCGTTGCTGCGATACGCCTGTCAATAAACCCTGTTTGGATTGTGGAGCAGAGCGCAAGGTTTGTTTGTTTAGTGGTTAGAGGTTCAAAAGTCGGCATTGTCCCACTGCAAACGAGCACAAGTTTTTTCTCCCTAAGGAAAAGCTGGCTGCGGCGAGAGGGAGGGAGAGATATCGGTGGGCCCTTTTATTTGCTTCTAGGAATAATTAATGGCAGCGTGAAAAAAGATGACCACAGAATTATGGAAGGCCATCAATAAGTAAATTAATCACAAAGGATCTGGGGGTGTAAGAGGTGCTGCTTGGCATAGTTTTGCTGGCATTTCTCCATGCCCACGGGGCTGGGGTGGCACGGGACTGGCAGAACCCAGGGCTCCTCACCGCAATGGTGGCATGCAGCCACCCCCGGCACCAGCCCAGGCACGGCAACATTTGGGACAGTTCCTGTAACCCTTCAGCAGTGTGCTCCTCGTTGGTTTTAATGCTGAAAGTATCAAAATTTCTCTTTCTTGCCTGTAGGACTTTTGAGAAAGAGAGTTGGCCCTGTTGAGGTGAACTGCTTGATGTCCATGAAAGTTTCATGTCTCCAAAAAGTTCATTAGAGACATATAAACAAGCCCGACACATTTTAAACATCCCCATTCCAGATCTCTTCCCCTCTTTGCTAGCGAACGTTCATTTTCTGAACTCTCCTCAAATTCTTGACGATGGCAATGCAGAACTCAAATTTCTCTGTGTAAAAAGGAACCGACCAAGCAAATTATATCCACACCCAATTTCAAACATTTCCACCCTCCCATCCCCAAACAAATAAACCACCAACCTTCCGGCTTCCTTTATATTCCTCGTGCACCATAAAGGAGTGTAAAAAGGCACAAACTGGATATCTTGTTTATTTGGGGGGATATTTACAGGCACCTGGATCAGTTCAGTGACTGGACCACGCCATTGAACCAGAAGCACCATTTGGGAGAGGTGAACTGGTTGTGGGCCCAACCCACGGGTGTTTTCACCCCTCACAGAGCTCCCCACTGTCCTGCAGCAGCAAGCTGAGCTGGACTGGTGGGGTACGGTGAGTCAGAGGCCCTGCCCTTTGCCTGCCTGGCAGGGACTGGAGCGGGTGTCCTCGGAGACCCTCTGCCCAGGCTGGGTAAAATCCAGGAAATCACAAGGTTCGGCCCCAAAATTGCAGGACGGCAGACCCCTGCTCTCCCTCTCTTAGATTTTCCTGCTCCTATCACCATATAATAAGAAAGAACTTGGGATCCCTTTTCTTGGCTTAGCACTTAGCCAAATATAAGAGTTTCTCAAGAAAGCTCTTTGAGTTTTGGGCAAGAAATGACCATACATGTCATACCCCACCATGGGGAGAACAGTGAGGTCCTTAGACAGAGGACCTGGATAGCATCTAAAGCAAATGTCTGCTTTCTCTGACCTTGAGCATCTTCTGGGGGTACGTTGTATATCCTCAGGCTGATAGCCGGGCACTCTGGGTCTGCAGTATGAAGACAGTAAGCTTTACAAAAAGTAAAAAAACAATACCTGAAATCAGCAGTAAGCAACAACTTCAGAGCCCCCCCCCCCCCGGCTTTTTGCCCACACAAGTAGCTTTGGTGAGGCAGGCTGTTCCCACTTGTGGGTGAAGCAGTGGCTAGAAGCACACATCACAGCAAAACAACAGAAGGCAGAGCCCATCCTTCAGAAACTGAGGGGGGGTTTTGCTATGGGTGACTTAAATCCTGGCTCCAGAGGGCTGTGTGAGGCCATAGGTTTCTCCTTGCCTCTCCATCAGTGGCTGGAGTGGAAGAGGAAATCATGGAGTTTACACTTCTGTTGACACAGCGCTGCTGGATGCAATGCTTCATAGCCAAAATTCATGACCAAATACTTTCCCTGGGTCCCACCTGGGTAATGGAGCTATGTGCTGAAGTTTAGAGCAGTTACAGCTGAAAGCAAAAGTTGAGTTGATGCCAAAGAAGCAGTGTTGGAGGCCTTCCAGGAACAAACAGCTCATAAGTGGTAAGGAAAGTCAGCAGGACATGAGTCTGCCAAAGGCACGTCCAGCTGCACAGGTAGCTCAGCAAGAAAACAAGGCCAGCTTGGTGTGAGAGGGCACGGGATGGGTGGTCTGATGCAGCAGAGGACGAGTGCCAGAGAGGTGCATGCTAGGAAGCTCCCTAGCGAAACAGCTTTGGTTACTGGGTGAAAGCCACAGCAGAGAAGTGTTAGGAACCTCTGGGGTCAGATGGGGCCAGACTTTCCTGGAGACCTTAGCAGCTCTCCAGGCTTTGCTCCAGCCGAGCTTCTCGGTGGTAGGACGTTCCCTCTCTCCTTGCTGATGAGGAGGAGCTGCTTCCTTCTCACCTGCATGTTCTGCTGCGCTGTGACTCAGGTGAACACAGGCAGTTTCTTCTAATTAATGTCTCAGCTTCTGCAATGCCCCCAATTCCATTCTCTGTTTTTGGCTCTTTCAGATGTCAGATTTACCTTCCTTGAAAGATGGGGACAGACACTCACTTGCAAAGGGACAGGAAAAATTTGAGCTATTCCCTAAAACAAACAGTTTGTTGCCAGGAGACTGGAGTAAGAGGCCCGGGAATCCCTTTCTAGCCCTGTATTTCTAAATTGAAGTATCATCTATTTTGGGACGACACCCACTGGATCCCCCTGCAGCTGCTTTCAAAGTATGGGAAGTATGGGAAAAGAGAGGATGAAAACTCACGGAAGATTCTCATTTCATGTTCATGTGGATGTCTAGATACAGATCTGTGGCATCCAGCAGGCCCCAGTCCAATTAACAATTAGCAAGATGGCAGGTAACAGGAATAATTTTCCTCTCGTTCCTAGTTTCCTCTAATTATAATATCTGAACTAACATAATATCTAATGTAATCTATCTATCTATAATAGATAATCTATCTAATATAATATCTAACCTATTGGTCAAGGTAGAGGTTTTAATTCAATTCCTCAGATTAATAAAAGTGCATCATTCCCTTCCCTAAAAGTCTTTTGTGCTTCATAGAATCATAGAACGGGTTGGGTTAGAAGGGACCTTTAAAGGTCATCTAGTCCAACCCCCCTGCCATGGGCAGGGACATCTTCAGCTAGATCAGGTCGCTCAGAGCCCCGTCCAACCTGACCTTGAATATTTCCAGGGATGGGGCATCCACCACCTCTCTGGGCAACCTGTGCCAGCGTTTCACCACCCTCAGTGTAAAAAATTTCTTCCTTACACCTAGTCTGAATCTTTTAGTTTAAACTTCTAACTGCTCATTTCCAACCTGTTGATCCCTAGCACTTAAGCTGGACTGATGACAACTAGACAGATGCCAAATATAACATCTGGACTCATTATCTGCTTCCCAGCGCTCCTGCACCCAGCTGTAACAGGCAGGGTTGGAAAGAAAGCACTTCTTATAGTGCTCTTCCAAAAGAAGAGAACAAGCCAAACAGAGCACATGGACCTTTCCGGCTCTCACCATTCTTCTTCCCTTAGTCAGCCAGGTATTTTTTGGCAGCTGTTGCAAGCTCATGCAGTTTTGCTTTTGAGTCAGATCCTGTTCCCCTGACATGCCTTCCATGGAGTCACAGCCCATCCTTCAGATAACTTGCATAGAGCCAAAGACCTTTGTAAGAGAAAAGCTGCCTTATCTCCGGCATTCTTTGGAAAGAGATGCTCCTTGCTGCAGAATGTGCCTTCCTCTGCAGGCAAAGAAGACAAACTTTCAGCCCTGGAAACCGAGATTGCTTGTGGTCTAATTTTTCCATGCCGTGGTCTGACCATGCAAACAGAAAAATGTCTCAGGGCTACAAGACTTGCTCGCTCCTTGCCTCCCTGAGTGACAGCAGAAAGGCCAGTTAGGGCTTCTGACAAGGGCTTGCTTGTAAGCAAGGCCTCGGAGAATGACCTGCTGCAAAACTCAAACCTTGGACACTAGGGGCACGATTCAGGGGCCTCCATGATCAGGTGGGTCTCAGGATTTTCAAGATCACAATTCTGCGTTTAGGCATCTCGAGTGAAAGATGGGCAAGACACCAGAGGCCTTCTGAGCCTCCAAAGGAATTTAAGCTCCTAAATTAAGCAGGAGTCAAAAAGCACTAGCATCCAAGACTTTTTTTCCTTTTCCCACAGTTTGAAAATGAGCCAATCCCTCTCACGGAGATTGTCAGAGGTGATATAAAGACCTGTGTAACAGTTAACTATTGAGGCTTCTTTAAAGATAACTCAAGCTTTCAATTACATTTTAGGGGAATTCCAGTCCTCACCTAATCTAGGAAAATTTTTTTTGTTATTTGTAAAATTTAAGAACATGAGAGGGAATTTACAGTAGCTCTTGGTAAGAACCACCTCCTATCAGCAATACCAAAGAATTTTTTTTCTAGTTTAAAATAAAAATGTTCTTCTTCATGAATCATAAATTGCAATAATAGAAAAAATCAAACCACTCATTTTTCATATATAGTAAGTGCAGTATATTGTTTCTGTGGCAATAATGTTCATTTTTTAGATCTTCTTTGATCCTCATCAATAGGCTTATATGCACCTATAGATGTAACCATGGTGAGCTGAAATGGGGTCTCTAAAAACATCTTGCGCAACGACTTCCAGGAATGTAGTGACTCAGAAGAAAAAGCAACTTTCTCTTATCAGAAGCGTATTTCTTCCTCCAGGACTTCAATCTGGAAACATGATCCTTCTTCTGTTCCCAGTAACAATACCCTGCTCTTCCAAAGCCAGACCAGCGCTTTGGACCTCTCTTTCATTCTCAGTCACTCCCTCGCCAAGCTTGTATTGTGGCTCCAAAGGTGTTTTCCATCCTCGGAGGCTTGGCCTCTGCCGATGGCTCCTGCTGGTAAAACATGCCCTACGTTACCTCGTTGCTTGTGAGCACACACTCCTGAACTGGGGCAGGAAAACACAGCCTCAACATGGGTCCAACGAAAGCAGCTGGCCGAGCAGGGGCAGCCAGGGCTGACATGGCGAGGGCTCAGCAGGCCCAGCAAAGTCCATGGTGGTCCAGGGGCTGGGGAGATTCAGCCTCTTCCCATGCACATCCCTCCCCAGGCATACTACCATGAGCACCTGAAAACCCACCTCCTTCCCCTCTTGGAAGATGGGCTGGGAGCTGCCATCACATGGGTATCCTGGTGCTGGCCCCTTATGCATGAGACAGCAAAATTCAAGTGTAGAATGAGAAAGAAAAGGCAAGAAGGAATTTTCCTGTCTCAGATACAAGGAGTGAGGCCACTTTGCCACAGGAAGGGGAAGATCTGGGGCTGCAGTGCCAAGTGCCCCTGGGGGCAGGGAGATGCCCGGCTCCCCTTTCCTCAGCGGTGCCTGCTGCCTCCCCACCAAGAGGGAGCCCAGGCCCAGCCAATGCAGGCAGCAGTGCCACCCACCCCGACCTGGCAGCTGCCTGTGCCCCGTGAGGTTCCTGTCGTCGGTGGGAAGCCCAGACCAGTCTGTGATCTGCTCTGAGATCCAGAGCAAAGGGAGACCCTGCTGAGGGGGGCATAAGTAAATGCACCATGGCAGCTTGCAGAGCCCACAAAAAAAAGACAGGAAAGA